TTAAAAAAAATTAAAACAATTTTTGTAAATATTCATTATTCATCGAATTTTTTTTATTTCTCAAGACAATAGTGTCCTTAATAAATCTTATTTATAAAAGCAATTAAAAGTTTTTCTAATTAAATATTGTCATAGTTTTATTGCATTTCTTATTTTACGATTCAGAGCAGATTTTCGGGAAATAGGAAGTGGTTTGAAAAGAAAAAAAGTTGACGATTTACATTCTACAAGGAGTCCTGCTTTTGACTAATAATATAAATTTTGAGATTGAAATTTAAATCTCGAAATTTCATCGAATTAAGTAAGTGGGGGTTGACATATGTAAAAAAAATGTTTTACGAAGATTTTATAAAAAAAGAATAAAATAAAATAATTTAATTCATGTGTTAATAAGTCCTGAAAGTTTTATTAAAATCCGTCAATTATTTGATTTTTGGAAGTATTTCTATATCGATGTGTTTTACACCGAAAAAATGAAGGCAAAAAAACACTAATCATAAATATTATGTCGACTGCTGTCGTAAAAAGGAAAAGACATTTAACCAACATTTCGAATAAAAATTTTTAATCCTTTCTGGATTAAATAATTTAATAGAATAATAAAAAAAAATACATGTGGTTCTACAAAGAATGAAGAAAAAGAGTTTGGTAATTTTGACACTCACATGGCATACTGAATAGAAAAGGAACAGAGAAAAGCAGCACATAACCTACCTAACGACCTTATGTAAATGATTGGCAGGACAGAGATGAGGTGATTTTTTAAAATCATTTCACCCCAAGCAAGGTAATAAAGCCACTAGGATACAAGAGGTTACTGAGTGTTAGAGAATATGAGAAAAACTAGTATTAAGAAGAGAGGACAATAAAAAAAACAAGAATTAAGAAAACAGGATAACGATTGCATTTAGATTTTTAAAGGTCAAATTTGACTGGGAGGCAAAAGACTGGAAAAGAGTTCCACCAGCGAGAAGTGCGATAGAAGAAACTCTCAGCATAGAACTTACGGTTATATCTGTAAATTGATGAGACCTTGCAGTTAATCTAATACTGCGCTTAAATTCATAAAGTCTAGCGAAAAGGCAGTCTTTACCAAGGATATTAAGATGTAGAGATTCAGGATAGCACACGCTACATAAAAAAATAAGTTACTGTATAATATTGGAATGAGCAACTGGCTTATTTGAAAAGCACATTGAAATAGAAAATATTTTTCTAGGCAAGGCAATAGTTTGAAAAAGAATTAATTCTGAGCACAAAAACAATAAAAAAAAACACTGAAAAAAACATTAGAATTTAAAAAATGATGTATCAAGTTTTGAAAGAAAATCCAGTACAACAAAGCATTAAATGAAAGTGCAGAAAAATGAATTAAGCAGTTTTTAAATATTTGGATATATCAAAAATTTTATTCGTGTGTCCGTCCACCTTCCCGTATTATTTACGCCGGTCTCCCCAACTGAGACCAGATGTGGCACAAGGTCGGGTTTTACGTTGGAAACCCGAGCGCGTAAATTCGAGCCAGGTACAAAATTTACCCATCGGTTGCGCTGTCCAAGCAGGCGACTACCGATCCACCTTCTAGTGCAATGGGACGGTCCAGCCTCGGGAAGCTGTTCCCCGTAACCAGCCAGACACCTCACATTATTTTCCCTAATTGCATTTCTGTCCGCAGACAGAGGCGCAAGTGAGAGATGAAAATATTACCCGCCGGCATGGGCCGCGGATACCTGAAATTCCTGTATTATTAACGAGTAGCAAATGTCTACCAACATTTTGTTTTTATGTATATTACTAACAACTGGTACTTACAACATTACATTAATGGTAATATAAATAATTTGCATAACATTTTTTAAATCATATTTTAATAAATATTTCTTCTGCGTTATTTTTTTTTTTTTAACGCGGATACCTGGAATTCCCGTATTATTAACGTGTACAGGATGTCTACCCGCCTTTCATATATGTTATTAACGAGCACCTCGAGGCGGTGTAATTTTTTGTTTTTTATCCCCCCCCCCCCGCCACATACGACGATTTGTACATATGCGGATTATTTAGGATTTTCATTGAGACAATAAGATATTATGGTGGATGTAGTAAGAGAAGGTTAATAAGAATGTGGTGTTTTGGTGTTAGGAATATTGTTTGTATGTTTGGTCAGTACTTGTGGCTAGCTAAGTTTAAAATTAAGACAGAAGAAGACAGTCCTTTTCCCCATCTCTCCTTTTTTAGGCCTTGTGCCACATTTTCTGTATTTTTCACAGAAATAAATATAGTAATGGTTAGCAAGCTTGTCTCGCTAAAACAATTACGACTGAGTACTGAGTTCGATCCTCACTGGGTGCCCCATACTTGTGACACAGCTATGCTTGGAAAATCACTATATATATTATTAACAAGTGGTATTTCTAACTTAAACGGTGATATTTAATTTGCATAACAATTTTTAAAAGCATATGTTAAATATTTCTTCTGTGTTATGTTTCTTTTTATTCAAATTTCAAAAACTGCCATATATAAGCAATGAGTCTACCGATAATTTTTTTTTTAATTCATCGTTTTCGTATAGAAAAATTAATATCTGTCTCCTCAAAATTCAGTTGCAAATTAGAAAACTTAAAGCGTTCATAAGGCATGCTGTCGTCTGTTATTTCACATTTCTACAAAGCATTGTTATCGTCTGCTATTTCACGTTACTAAATATTTGTTGAATGAAGCCGGAAAAATTATGAAATTGTTTAAATAAGTCTAAATAATCTGTTAAATTAAATTTTCTTACTCGGTTATTTTTTTTTCAAAAATGAAAAACTATTAAATAAATTAATTTTTATTAGCAGTATTAATATAAACATCAGAAAGTGATTCAGATGTTTCTCTCGCTTTATGTAGCTATGTCCAAAGTAGGAAATTGAACCGGACTTAGCATCATGACAAAAAGAACTTTAGAAAATAAATGTCTTGCTGAAAAAGTTCATACAGAAATTTTAGAGACGTAAGCGAACATTTATGGCAACTTACTTCTTGTCTCTTCGCAGGACCGGTATTCGGCTAATAACAGAAAATACCTTTTTTTCAGAAAAATGATGCCCTCATGAAATGCTTATTTTCTGTTGTTACCTGAATTCTATTCGACCAAGCTGATTTAACAATTGTATGTATGTTGCTTCAGAATAATTTTATCGTTTTTGTTTGTCCAAAACGTTTCGGACGTTTACACTCCGACCTTTCTCAGATGTCTTTTGTGCTATGGGATGTCTTCAAAATGGTCGCTCAGCGTTTAATTCGATATTCCGTAAACCAAAAAACAAAGAAGGAAAGCTGGGAAGTTGTAAATCAAGGACATTAGGAAGGAAATTAGCACGCAAGTAAAAATAAACCAAGAAGCAAATTATTTCGCGCCATACAGTTTTGTTTTGTCAGCGTTATCAACAAATTGAATGCATCGAATCAAGGAAAAGAATCAAAATTGGAATTTATGATATATGTAGGGTGCCGTAAGGTTATTTAACACTCGGAAAAATCAGAAAAGCAGTTGAAATGTCTGTGATATATTATGAAGAAAAAAGACTTGGAAAATTTAAGTCCCACAGGGCAAAAATGCAAGAAGCAGTGCAGAGGGAGACAGTGAATAACCATCCTAATAAATTTGTCTGAATTTATGACAGAACGGGAAAAAAGGAAGAGTAAACAGAGCCAAGCGTTGTTTAGAGTAACAAAAGGCATGAAAACTTCAAGAACCATGTCCTAAAAGGACACACAACGAAAAAAGTCAGCAACCATAAAAATAAATTTACCATCAGCGTCCAACACAAAAAACAACTGTAATTCGATTCAAGTCCAAATTTAATAAAAAAAATTAAAGTGTTTAAAAAATAACAGATATTTACGTTATATATATATTCAGCGTTGGCGCGTCTTAACCCCGAAACCCTCGACCGAGGTGGAGGTGCGTTTTTGGGGGGCCCCGTTGTGACCTCTGCCATTTTATTTTTAGCACTTTTATGACCATCCACCATTTTTTTTTTTAATTATTTTTAAACTGACATTACATTGTCAGTCATCAACTAATAATATACATCATGTATCTGCATGGCCGGTGCAGTGCGTACTATGCAGGAACCCCCGAGACAAGGCTGGAGCCCCAAAAGGGTTAATTTCAGCAGCGTTCTTTTGCTTTTAGTACTTTTTTTTTTTTACTTTTTTCTACTTAAGTTATATTATCAATCATCAACTATAATAATCAACAGAGCAGATGCTTACTACTTTGAACCTCTCAACCGCGTGGGGGCCCCCATGTCTATTGAGGAAGGGACAGAAGTGCTCATTTCAGTTGAGCTTATTTTTTTAAATTGTAATTTTCTTTCTGAGCAGTATTTTTTTAATCAATTAAGAAGGTAATGTATCTCGGTAAATTTATTTCTTATTCCAAGATCACCCACGAAGGATGATCACTGATTTTTTTTTCTACTAATGATAATACTCACCGGAAGTCCACGGCTAGTAATTAAAATAAAATTTCTAGTCCCTATTTTTATTTTTTTTTTTACATTTCTAGAAAGATAAAATCGAGAAAATGATCGCTTAAAAACTAAAAATGTTTAAAGATTTCAACAGATGAAAAATTTCCCTAAAACTGAAATACTGTTTTTAAAACAAATTTTAAGACAATCCCGTTTGTGTTGTGTTGGAATATTTGTAAAAAAAAAAAAAACTTTTTTTAAACGGAGATGCATTGGCGATTAATCTTTATGGAAATTTAGACATTTCCAAATTAAATATTTTTTCGAGTAAAATTTAGCCATGAAAGTATTAGTGTTTATTACAAAAGGAATAACATTTTTTCGGATTTAAAAAATGAAAAGAACTGTTCATTATAAAAGTAAAAAATGAATATCTACTGAAATTTTAATTTAAATTAGATAATTCCCTGATTTATGGTAAATTAAAAAAGAAAAAGTGTTGCCCTTCCCTCCCAACTCCCTACCCTCTGTCCCATGCTTCTACTTCCCTTCTTGCTTCTTACTCTCTGTCCGCCTCTACTTTCTCTCTCCCTCTTTCTCTCTTTCTATCCTCAACTTCCTCTCCTTTTCTATGCTTCTTGCGTTATGTCTTCTACTTCTTTCCTTTCTTTCTGGCTTCCTAATCTTTGTAAAATTTTCTTTTCCATCTCTATCATCTGTCTATCTTCTACCTTCCTACTCCCCCGTCCCTCCCTATCTATCTATCTATCTATCTATCTATCTATCTATCTATCTATCTATCTATCTATCTGTCTGTCTCTCTCCCTCTCTCTCTCGCTCTCTTTCTCTCTCTCTATCTATCTATCTATCTCTTTCTTCCTACTCTCTGTTCTATCCTCAACTTCTCCTCATCATAGTCTTTATAACTTTTCATCATCTACACTTCATCTGTTTTATCTCCTTATTACCTTCTCCTTCGCTTTCTTTTTCTTCATTTTTCAAGCTGTCTCTCTCTCCCTCTCTCTCTCTCTATCTATCTATCTATCTATCTATCTATCTATCTATCTATCTATCTCTCTCCCTCTCTCTATCTCTCTCTCTTTCTCCCCCCTCCCTCGTTGTTTCACTTCTCTACTTACGCATCAACATCAAAAGGATGTAATGAAGGCAGAAAATTTACCGTGTCATTATTTGAACACCAAATTTAAACACTTTTTTCATAAGCAAATCTTGATACGGAACGGTACGTGTATACCCTGGGTAGACGAGCCCACCCGTCAACAATGCTACCTGGTCACACACTGAACCTTTTGAAGTGAGTTTACGTTTTCATAAGAGTCGATGGTAGGGCAGAGGTGTAAGAATTGAAGAGGATACAAAAAGAATGAGGTGGGCTGCAGAGTTCATTTAGTTAGACGGGTAGATGGGTTCCGGGTGTCGGATGGGACCAACATACCCTTTTAAACACATGTTTATATCGCTCGAGCAAACATAAGATGTTTCAACAAGTCATTACGTATGTGTGTAAAAAAAAATGTACCTACGTGTATGATCAAGCATTAGCTACGCCTCGCGCCTGTTTCGTTCCGATTTTATTCCATTGTGTGTTTTTAACGAAACACTTTAGGATTTTGTGTTTTTGATAGACTCAAGAAAAACATCACTTGCCGTGGGTTGTTGCCGCTCTTTTGTAAGGCAATGTGTAGTCAGGAATTGAGAATGGCGAATTGTTTGTTTGATGGGACGGCATAGTAACGAAGATGAAGGCGAAAGAGTGTCGCTTTTTGGAATGTTCAGACTATTTCTTCATAAATGTTTTCACACGATGTATTGGAGATGCGTGATTAAATTCACTGAATTAGCACGCAACGGACAGTTTATGTCACACATCTATCACTCGATTCAACTAATGAGCAATCAAAATTCATTCATTGAATCGATTTGTCTGCCTCTATGCCTGCCTATCTATCTATCACAGTCTCACCTTTATCTATCTATCTACATACCTACCTATTTATCTATCTTATTCTGTTCATATCTATCTTACTATGTATCTATCTCACTCTGTTCAGATCTATGTATGTATGTATCTATATACCTACCTCCATATCTATCTATCTATCTATCTATCTATCTATCTATCTATCTATCTATCTATCTCATTCTGTTGATATCAATCTCACTATCTACGTATGTATATATATTAAATTTATATTTATATATATATAAATTTAAAATATTTATAAATAAATATATATATATATATATATATATATATATATAAATTGAAAATTTTATATATATATATATATATATATATATATAAATTAACTGATTTAAAATATGGTTTCTTCGCTACACAGGAATTACCATGTTTTCAAAAACCGAAGCTAAAAACTTCAAATTTAATTATATAATTAAATGAAAAGCATTAGTTCTGTTCCATCTTCAACGAATTTTGGAATAACTTATTTTAAAATTTATTGAGTTTTAAACGCACATACAATTCATAATTTTTAGTTTCCAAGTATACAGAGAAATCCAATCATTTAGACATGGGCAGTAGCGTGTTCATTTTTATTAACTCTTGTTGTATCAATTATGAGTTATATTCGAAAAAGGGGTTAAGTTTAGGGAGGGTAAGGGTGCATTTTTCAACGAATTTTGACATCCGTTCAACCCATGTCGTCTGTTTTTTTTTTTTATCAACGACAAAAAGTTTTTCGGCAGTTTTTCCGTTGAATTCGTATTTGTATACTTAAAAATTATTTCTAAAAGGGCTGTTTGGGTTAGAACACGTTAGATTGAACTACAATTTTAAAATATAATTTTTACTCTTAATTACTAATAGACTATATTTCTTTTTAAATCAAATAAATTTAATAGAATTACTTAAATTATTTAAAAATTATTATTACATATCAAATATAAGTATGTATATTACCAGCTCCCATTTTTTTTATTTTTTTTTTATTTTTAAATATTATTTAAGGAAAATTTTTGACAATGTCGGCAAAGAATAGCTATTTCATTTCTTTGATTCAGTAAATTTTAATTTTTTATAAACTTAGTAATATATAGTTTCTCATGTATGCACAAAGGACATGGGTCATTTAAAGACCTCCATATTCTAGATTTTCTTATTAATTTCCATTTTACTGTAGGTGTTTTATTGGTTTCTTTTAATTGCCAGAAATATTTCGATAGGGACATCTGATTTCTGTATTTATTTATCCTAAATTAAGTTTGATATTGATTGAATCTCTTTTTGAACTCATGGCTTGTGCAACCTATATAGATTTTTCGGGATTCTCAATAGATGAGATATTGCATTGGTATACTAATGATTCCGTGCGACATTTATTTTGTAGAGGACAGTTATGAGGATTTCTACAGTTACATAATTTTTGTTTATCTTCATCTCTTTTTATTTTTATATTATCTAAATTTCTTTGGTTTTGGTCAAAGTGTTTATTGAAGATATTAGCTTTATGTTTCTTAATAATTTTCTGTAAGTTTTCAGTACAGCTGTAACTTAACTTTAGTGTATTTTTATTGAAAATAGTACTGAGTTTACTATCTTTAGGAAATTGCTTAACGATTAATGCTAGAAACTTTTGCCTCAACCGGGTTCTATAGCCTTGGATAGCAACTCATCGGACGGCTGAGTTCAAATTCCAGTTGAATCCATTACATTCACTTGCGTGCTAATATCCTTGTGAAAGGTATGAATCCTCTTCTTCTCCATCCAGCTATGGGTAAATAGCAGGACAGACCGGGTTCTATAGCCTTGGATAGCAACTCATCGGACGGCTGAGTTCAAATTCCAGTTGAATCCATTACATTCACTTGCGTGCTAATATCCTTGTGAAAGATATGAATCCTCTTCTTCTCCATCCAGCTAAGGGTAAATAGCAGGACAGACCGGGTTCTATAGCCTTGGATAGCAACTCATCGGACGGCTGAGTTCAAATTCCAGTTGAATCCATTAAATTCACTTGCGTGCTAATACCCTTGTGAAAGGTATGAATCCTCTTCTTCTCTTCCATCCAGCTATGGGTAAATAGCAGGACAGACCGGGTTCTATAGCATTGGATAGCAACTCATCGGACGGCTGAGTTCAAATTCCAGTTGAATCCATTACATTCACTTGCGTGCTAATACCCTTGTGAAAGGTATGAATCCTCTTCTTCTCCATCCAGCTATGGGTAAATAGCAGGACAGACCGGGTTCTATAGTTTGGATAGCAACTCATCGGACGGCTGAGTTCAAATTCCAGTTGAATCCATTACATTCACTTGCGTGCTAATATCCTTGTGAAAGGTATGAATCCTCTTCTTCTCCATCCAGCTATGGGTAAATAGCAGGACAGACCGGGTTCTATAGCCTTTGATAGCAACTCATCGGACGGCTGAGTTCAAATTCCAGTTGAATCCATTACATTCACTTGCGTGCTAATATCCTTGTGAAAGGTATGAATCCTCTTCTTCTCCATCCAGTTATGGGTAAATAGCAGGACAGACCGGGTTCTATAGCCTTGGATAGCAACTCATCGGACGGCTGAGTTCAAATTCCAGTTGAATCCATTACATTCACTTGCGTGCTAATATCCTTGTGAAAGGTATGAATCCTCTTCTTCTCTTCCATCCAGCTATGGGTAAATAGCAGGACAGACCGGGTTCTATAGCATTGGATAGCAACTCATCGGACGGCTGAGTTCAAATTCCAGTTGAATCCATTACATTCACTTGCGTGCTAATACCCTTGTGAAAGGTATGAATCCTCTTCTTCTCCTCCATCCAGCTATGTGTAAATAGCAGGACATACGAGTTTCTATAGCTTTGGATGGCAACTGGCCTACCACAGAAAGAAATGGCAACCTACTGTGGGAAAAATCTGCCTCGTCAGTCATGTATCGAAAGATACATGATCGCCTAAGTGTATATCACGCATAGCCCATAACTGACTGGGCACAGATTTTCGGATCAATAGTGGAAATTTATCTATGTCAATTCACTTACTTTTGCGGTGAACATTGTTGTATATAACCCACTTTTCAACACCTGTTTTGATATATTTAAAGAACTATTAGTTAGGATGATATATTCGTCATTTTAATTAAAATTACTTATGATTCAACCTAATATCTATCTGGTTTATTCTCAACATCTCCGGGTATGTACAGTTAATGGTATAATTACGCGTATAAACGTAATTAGTAATTAGTATTGGATGGTGCAAAAATAATGACGTAATAATGTCGTTTTTTTACGTATTTTTTAACGTTAAAAAACGACATTCTTACGTCATTATTTTTGCACCAACCTTATAGCAACTTTAGCATAACCTAAAAGTAAATGAAATATCAAGTGTTCTTGTTGAATTTCCAACGGAAAAAAATACAATTAAAAGTTAAAATATAGCCAAAATAAATATGCAAATTTCCTTTGTACCCGGAGATGCTGCTATCCTTCAAAAACAATGAGGTACTCTCTTCCAACAAGATGTCTTTCCCGCCTGCCTTTCGATACATGACTGGGGAGATAGTCCCTTTCATTTTCTCTCTTCCAACAAGATGTCTTTCCTGCCTACCTTTCGATACATGACTGGGGAGATAGTCCCTTTCTTTTTCTCTCTTCCAACAAGATCTCTTTCCCATGGCATGAAACTAATGACCAATGTTAAATCAAACAGGAAAAAACAAACGGTGAGAAACGCTTTTGGGCTGCTTTTATTTATATTTCCTGATCTAAGAGCATATAATCATGACGTTTACTTAAACTACGTGACTAGCATGATCTTTAACGTATTTTTGTAAATAATTTGGTTATTAGCGTTGTTTTTAATTATAGCACATGAATGCTCGGCGCTTAAATTCGTAAAAGCCAAATGTTTATTTTTGATGGATGATATTGACAGAGATTTCCCCCCATCAAAAATTACTACTTTCACTTTTTATTCGTCCTCCAATCTGTCTCCACTAATAAATCTTCTAGAAGAACCCTGCCGACCCATGAGATTCTGAAAGGTAGGGCTATATCCGTAAAATAACCTCTTACATAAAAATAATAAGGTTGTGTGTTATACCAGTGTTTGCGATTCTGAAAGTTTCTGTTGGGCTATCTCTCCGAAAAAAAGGATGGAAGCTATATCTAATTAAAATGGTATCAATGGTTATCATATAGGAAGAAAAGGAGTAACTATCGACACCGAGGTTCGAGCCTGATACTCTGGACTTATGAATATATTTTTTTCCGTCAGGTGTATAAATAGCGGTGTCAGGCTACTGACTGAAGTGATTATTGAGTGGAACTATCCAGTCGAATTAGTGTGAATTATTGTGCGTCAATGATTTGGGTTTTGATTTAGGATTTACCGGACGTTAAGCCGAACCGAGGTATTCACTAATTCATTAATTTTCTTTGGTTGACTTTTACTTCTTTGTTAACTATTTATTTCTGGTTTTAATTAAATACTGTTTTATCTTAACTTTGAAGTCTTGAGTTATACTTAATTATTAACGGCCACCGTACGTCACGAAAATGGTGTTATTGTTATAGAGTTATTCAATCTGTAGGAAGCGTCTTCCTCATTAGTGGACCACGGTCACTGCAAAACCAGTTGAAACCGGACTGTAGTACTGAAAAAGACCGCGTCATACAACATTACGTAGATGTAACCTAAAAATGAAAGTCTTCTCCCTTAAAAAATTCCATAAAACTCCCAACTCTTTCTAGAAAATAAAAAGAATCAGTGGCGATTCAAAAGAAAAATTTAAATAAAGGTCATATAGATAAAAAGGTCATATAGATAAAAAGGTCATATAGTGATAAGCCACATACTTAAGAATGGTTAGATATATAGAAATAAGTTTATTTTAAGACATTTTTATACATAAATTATCGATTCCTGTCGGAGGACGAATATTTTCTATGAAAATTTCTTGGACATTCAGGCCGGTAAATGTCGTTAACACTGTTTATTATAAACAGAACATTTACTTAAATATCTATAAATGTAGATATAAGTATATATAAAAAAGAATGTATAAACATAAAATGTCTTAAAATAATTGTCGGACATTGACCATTTCATAATCCGTGACGTCACTTGTTTACATTTGATATGCCATGAGCAGATATGGATGTACGTGAGAGATTCATGAAAGGTT